CAAACTTGAATAGACTTCGACCAGAGGTCCCATCCCACTGCATCAGTTGTCTTGAAGGTTCTTGAGTTCCTGAGCTGAAACTCACTTGTGATAAAAAGTGTAAAACATTTTTCTTGCTTAAAATTATTATAAAAGGAAAATTTTTAACAAAACAGACATGATCAGAAGAAAGTTTTTTTAAATAAATTAGTTTCTTTGTATTATTATATATATATTAACAAGTATTAATTCAAATTATAAATTTGAAAGTTAATTTATATAAGATAATTACAATATCTTATAATTTAATTTAATTTTTTTTTTCAAATAGATAATTATAACTACTTCTTGACCTATTTAGATATAAAGTAAGTATTGTTTATATACAATATAATTTAGATAGTTATCTTTAGATAAGTTAGCATTTAACTTGCTGTTTATTATATTGTATTTTATAATTTGTACATAAAAAACATTTTTTCTAAATATATAAATAAAAAAATGATGTTTACCTATACTTAATTAATTCTAATAAAATTTTTTAAAATTATTAATCAAATTTAAAACATTATTTTTATTATTATATACTAGCTCTTGAGTCTAAAATAATTAGATATGTTGTAACATCTTATTACAAATTTTATTATCGCCAAGATAATGATAACGTAAATTTATATATTCGTCTACAATTTTTATTGTATGACTTGAAAAAATTTATACCGATGCTAATTTCTCGATATTTATTATATATCAAAACAAAGGGAACTTTTATAAATTGGTTGGTTATTCTCGAAAGAGAAATTCATTATTTTGATGGAACAAATAACATAATCTTTTTTAGCCTAACAACTAAAGGAACGACGACTCAATTATTATTTCGTGAGAAAGTAAATGACATCACAATTTTTACCTATATGTTTGCAAAAAAAAAAAAAAGGAACACAAAACGCAGACAATAGCATGCAACAATTCATCTAATGGGTTGCGTTTCTTTAAAACCAACCTTGCATTAAACACCTCACGTGATTTTATAAATGAGGGATTCGCGTTTCAACAATAGTACTTATCATCACGCCTAAAATTTATGACCGCATATGAGATACAATGGCAAACTAAACAGTTGCTTCCTTTTCCTCGACCATCGGAGGTGCATTACGAGGAGATCTAGACCGAGACTTAGGAAGGCCGTTTACTTGCTCTGACCTTTTACGACGTTCTGGTGGAGTACGAGAAGTTGACCTAGAACGAGATCTATATCGACC